ATTACTTCGTATACCTTTGTTTGCTTTTGTGAAAATTGATATTGTGCTTGAGTTGCTTGGAGGAAAAGATTGAATCTTTGGATCGTGAATGCTTGACTAAGTGTGATTAGGAGTTGAAAGCTTGCTCTCTTGTGCTAGAGCTTGGTTTAGCTACCTAGGGTTTTAGCTAGCATGACAATATTTGGTTATTTGTGTGTGATTGATCATGGGGACTCCGGCAAACTAAAATCTTTCTTTTCCCCTTGATTTCTCTCATCTTCTTGCGTGCTTTTTCTTTCCTTGTTAATTGCTTTCAATTGCCCTCAATTTCGTAGATTAGTTTAGAGAGAAAGGAAAGAAAAAGCACGCCAAGCATCATTAGAAGTCCACATCGATGCTATGGCGTTATCATCACAAACCGAACCACACCCATTAACATCATTGGAAGCTCGCCACCACAAAGATGACTGTGAAACATCGAACCAGCCCCGTTATGGCGACTTGTGAACGGCGAATGACGAAAACCACTTGGGGGATGAACCGTCGCCTCCTCTAGAGAATTTGCAGTAGTAGTTATCGATGAACCTCCGAGAGCCGAGCCGCGCGGTCCGTCAATGGCACCGCCATGAACGTGCGGAGTACTCCGGGGAAGGCGCAGAGAGGTTAATCGATTTATGGTTTTCTCAGGAAAATAGAAATTAATTATTTGTGATGGTAAAAAATTAATTTTGACAATTATTTACCTTGTTTGTCCAAGCTAATTACAATAATTTAGTATAAAACAATATTTTTAAATGGTTAGGCATAAGGCAGAGCGTATACATAAAAAGGAACCGTGGACTAAGCATGGCTAAGGCAGAGTTGTAATTAATATTTTATATATACATTTGTTGAAATTTGGGATACTAGTATTTGAGGTAGGTTAAAATTAATGTAAGGTGTAAATTTGTGGAAGTTAATTGAAACGTATAACTTTGACCACGAGTGCGCAAAACGTTGTAAGAACGTGAAAATAACAATGTGAATAGCGGAAGCAATAGACCGAAAATTCAAAAACTCTTCAGGAAGCGTCTCACTTCCCCTCAGCTCTTTCATTGATAAACTGTATACCATTGTATAGTTTGGACTTACACGATTCGAACTCCCTTCTAGTCTAGCCACACCACACGATTCTAGCAAAAGTTATGATAAGTGTTGATCTCCTCTTTTTCTCTCCAAGATCTCCTTCTTATGCATGCGTCTCTTTACTTGTTCCCATAAGATCCGATTTCCTACAAGTTATAACACCACAATAAAATTCATGCAATCTTGTATATGTGTACATAAAGTAATCTAAGTAAGGAAACAATATAACACAAAGATCTCCATTTTTCTACGGTTCAAAGTGCTTGTTCGAACATATCTTCAACTATGCTTAATTTTGAACTCATGCCAAACAAAATATCTTTCATTAATACCAAAAAACAAACTTTTAGAATAGTGTTATATTTTTTTCAAAACTCTTTCATTAAGTAATCGTTTAACCAATAAGTACAAACAAAAATTATTCATTTAGACGAATTCCTCTAGTTAACGTGTTTTGTACTCCACCAACCTAACTATTTATCCGGCCATGTCGTGACTTGGACTGCACGCACTACAAAAAAATAGAGTTCCAGTGAAGAATTTATTTGTCACTATATCTACAATTGTTGTCACTATATCTACTGTCAGTATATCTACAATTATTGTCACTATATCTACAATTATTGTCATCTACACTTGTTGTAGATATAGTGACAACAATTGTATATATAGTGACAGTAGATATAGTGACAACATAGTGACAAAAAAATTCTTCACTAGAACTTTATTTTCTTGTAGTGACGTATAGATCCTTCAAGTGGAATGATGGTGCACCTAGAAATGCACCTAGAAGAAAAACAAACAAACGACTCAAATTTACATTGACGTATCAACACATAGGAATTCGATCTTGATCTATAAATCTCACTACAAAAAAATTATGAAATTCCAACGGAAATCTATTCTAAAAGAATTATTCCAACAACAATTTCAACGGATATTTCAATACTGTTATTTCTATTGGAATTTTTCAATAGATTCCAACAGAAATTCCAACAAAAATATTCTGTTTGAATGGGTTTTCCATTGGAGTTTTCGTTGGATTTTGATGATTTCAACAGGGGTGGAAATAAAAATTCCAACGGAATTTGCATATTCTAACGGAAATTTCCACGGTAAAAAGCCGTTGGAAACATAATCGTTGAAATCATCAAATTTCATCTAAAATTTCAATGAAAAATACATTCCAACGGAATATTTCTGTTGGAACCATACAAAGAAAGTTCATTAGCTCCGCTCCTTTCCTAAAAGTGCCGATCTCATGGATGAAGGCTAACGTTTTCTCCTTCAAACTACTCTATTTCGTTCAAATTGTCACTTCCGAGCTTGAAAAGAAGCAGCCGAGTCTGTAGGCTCCTAGGTCAATGTTGGAAAAAATGTTGGAACCTCATGGCTAAGAATAAGGTAATGGAATTGATAGAGAAATTCATAGACCTAGGTAGGATAGGAGAATTGATAAAGGGAACTTTCCCCGAACCCATACGTGTTTCAGCCGAGGCAATCCTGCTTCGGTAGCAGACTTCGGTCAAGGAAATCGCTTCAAGCAATGGCTTTGCGAAAGAGCAACTCTTCTCAAAAT